GGTTAAGTGCAAACTTGTTCTGAATCAAAGGTGCCAGGTATTTGAAAGTTTTATCATACAAATTTGTCCCGATAGTTTAGAGTCATAATAATTTTGCCTTTTACAGTAAAAAGCCAACGTTGACCGTTAGAATAATGATATTGATCATAAACATTTTTACGATAGAGACAAAATTGTTATAATTTTAAACTTTCAAATCAAATTTGCATTTAAAAAAAAAAACCTTCTGGATGTCCAGCACTCATAAGTAAAAACTTGCAGAATAAATTTGCACTTTAACCCTTTTAAAATTATAAAAACAAGAACAAAAACTCATCCTCATAGAAAGTATAGGGATCAAATGAGTTTTTAGTTTAGCTTCTATACTGTTGACCAGTTTTGATTTTGATTCTTATACCTTGCTATGTCAATTCAGATCAAGTTCTCGTGAAATTATGAAGACAAAAAATTATGATTCGAAACTACAATGAATAAAACCAAAATTAAGGATGAATAATGATATTCACAAAAAAAAATACTAATAATGAAAAAACTGTTGTGTATGTAAAGGGATGTGTTAAAAGTAAAGTCTCACATTGCCTAAGAAAGAGGGAGCTCAAGTATATAAATACTACTCCCTCCATTTCTTATTATAAGAGACATTTGATGCTTATAGCATGTTCCTATATATAAGAGACACTTAAAAGTTGTCTCTGTTTTTTTGTATTGATTCCTATTTTACCCATATTTATTATCTCCAACTCACACTCTCTCTCCTTCCCACTTCTCTTTCTTTTAATAATTTACCATTGTTCTTTCTCATACTCTCTCTCCTTATTAATGAGGGCATTTTTGAAAGAAAAAAAAATTGTACTTTTTACACATTGATTGTTCTTAACTAATTTTAACTGTTTTTTTATCAACGTAATTCGGTTATTCATCTCTTATAATAAAGAACGGAGGGAGTATCATACATTATTGGGCCATTTCTCTTCTTCCCTCTCTGTGTTTCTGTGCTGCTGGGTTTTATTTTTCTACTGTTCTATCACTCTGTTTTCTGCAGGAAGGTTTGTTTAATCTTGGGGAGTGCCGCACTCACGTTTACCTATGGTAACTGAATAACTCTTAAGAATAATGTCTGCTGGCATGATTCAGACCAAGCTGATACACACTTTCAGTTTTCTCAACAAAAACAATATCTCAATGTTTTTAAATTTACTCTATGGTTATGAATTTCTTACTTTACCTCTTCAAAAGGTTTGTTAGCCTGCTTGTAGGTTTCGGATTTGGCCACCAGAATTATAGGTTTTGACTACGTGATAGATGGAATGATACAAGAATGGTGGAGTTAATATGGTTCAGTCTCTTGAATCTTCCATAAACAAGAATTGGACCTTTTACTATTTATAATTTCTAATTATAAGATCTTATTTATAGTGTATAAATAAGGTTTTATAATTAGAACTAAAAACAGTAATTTTTATTATTTATGTAATTCATACAAAATACTCTATCACTAATTAAGTAATTATTGATAATAATATCTCCAAAGAACAGGAACAAATGCGTGTCTAGTTTCTCCAATCTCATCACAGCACACTAGGATGCAACCCACATGCACGTCATATCCATCCCGTGGGGTCCACACACCATGTCGAGTAGTAGGGGGGTCCCACCTTTCCGGTATTACACAACAGGTTGGCGCGGGGAAGGGTTTGAGCTGGAGCCCACAATTACATTCTTCGGTACGTGCCAACGGTAATAACCGTTTGATTTTGATGTGTTTCTTTTCAACTCTTCCCGATCTGATGGCCCCTATTTGTTATCGTGGCCTTCCATCATCCTCCTCCTTCCCATCTTTGGTCTCCTTCTCTGACACGTGTCCGTTGCTCCACACCCCCCGTCACTCCTCAGCACATCTAACCATTATTTTTTTAATTTTATTCTCCGCCACACAGCAGGTAATTTTCTCAATTTTCTTAATTTTTAATAACACCAGAATAATTATTATTGGTGAGACATCCGGAAAATCCTGCATCAATGACAAGAAAAGAAAAACCACAAGACTAATATCCTTTTAAAGATCCGAACAATAATTCATCAAAGAAAATCCGAAGGATAAATGATAATTCTCTTAATTGAATTTGCTCCATAAATAAAACTTTTTGATTTCCTCTTTAAATTCAGTTGGCATCTCAATTCTATATTGAATTGAAATAGAAAGCACCGGGCGCTTCCAATTCATATGGACACAAAATAAAAATACTACCTCTGGTCATTAATATTACTATAAGATTTTATTTTGATCATAAATATAAAATCCCAATCCATTTTATCTCTCATATTTGTATATTTTTTCTGAGGTAGTCCTTCTAATAATGATAGTTCTAACCAGTACACTTGATTAGTAAGAATATTTTAGGAAAGATAATACATATTTATTACAAATAACTACTTTAACTTATTTTTTATTTTTTTAATTTAGTCAACTAATCTTTATAATTAAGACTGGAAGTAGTAACATACACATAAAATAAAATTGTGGAATTGCGAGGAGCAACTTCAACGAACAGTCTTCTAAAACGGGCATGGCGTATGATTAACACGTGGCAGTATGATTGAGAGCGCAAATGAACATGTTCAGTATATGCAATTGAGGAGGGCATGCGATGGATGTTTTTAAGGTCAAACGCAAAAACTAAAATAAACATAAAATATCATTATTATTAAGAAAAATTATCACGAGATTTAAAAAAATTACCAAAACGCCCCAAAAACGAGTAAATAGTTGTCAAATTTATCACAGCATACTACTTTATTATTACTAAGATTTTTTAGTAATTAGTAGCATAAGAACTTTATACCAATTCTCCCTTGTTATTAGTATTGGCAAATGCCAACACCCATGAAATTGTGAAGAAAAATAAGGAAATACAAAAAGGGAAAGTGAGTTCCAAATTCCAATTCGTTGTGTGATGTGAATCAAAACCCCTTTTTTTCTTCCTTTCCTTACAAAATACTCCATTTCTTTATCTGTGCACACATTCACAAACACACAGACTTCACTTAAATAAATATATACAATATTTAATTTAATTCTTATAATTCACGCTTTAATATAAACGCAACACCTGCATATGTTGGTCCTGCAGCATGTCGGTTCCTAACCCTTTTTTTTTTTAATTGTCTTAAGCTTTTTACATTTCATCCCAATAAAAAAAAATGGTTACGTAATTTCACACTTCTTTTAATAAAAAAAATTTTGGGGTGAGTTTTGACTGATCCAATATTTCTTGTTTTTAATACAGTGCATTACATTGTTGCTGAAAAACCAGTTTTACAGATCCTGTCAGATATGCTTTTCACATCACGCGTGTGAGTTTTAAAAATTAACTTTACACGAAGCGGATTTCAAATAAATTATAAATATTCTTCGTTTATTGGTTATATATTTTGAAATGTATTTTTAAGTTAAAAAGTTAAAAATTACTTTGCAATGCGACTTAGGGGGTGTTTGGATAGAAACCAAACTATGGTTTCAGAAGTGTTTTTACGGATTACAAAGTAAATATGTGGAGGAGATTACCTCGTTTTGCGAAAAAGTGCTTCTGAAACCATGGTTTTGGGTTTCCCAAACACCCCCTTAATTAAAAGGACTTGACAAAAATATCACTGATGAAGTAAATTTCATTTTTTTTAAAAATGAGATGAAAAAATATAATAACTATTTAAGAAATTAAATCTCATGGTCAAGTTTATTTTTAATAAAAATCGAATATCTGAAAGCATGGGCATACTAGCTTTTTTTTTTTTCCCGTCCCCAAAGGGATTAGGATGTTCAGGCCAAAAAAAATTAAGGAATTATTTATTTGTGATCACCAGTTCGTGATAACAGCTTTTTTGGTACTCTCACTGCCGCACATGTAGTTTATATATGATTTAGTTCAGATTTTTTTGCTTTATGGTACAGTACTTAAAAATGTGTGTGTATATTTATATATATATATGTATATATAGTCTGCATTAATTAATGGCTATATATCTATCCATGTGCCTCCCACCCCAATGAGCAATTATATCTCCTTTTTGTTTTTCTTCCCAAACAAACAATTGTGCTGCCCCATAGAAATTTCTTTCTATAATTTAATGCACGTATTTTTGTCAATGCCTAAGTTACAGATTTTTTCCTTTAAAAAAAATTACCTTTTTTCTATAGCAGATAATTGTTCTACCGTGAACACTTTATATATTACAATAATTTTACATGATACATGACCATAAAATAAAATTTTAATTATATATTTGAATGATTCATATTTATAAGGAAATTAACTATTTCTTTGGTTGTGATAATGATTTTTTTTTCAAAAATGGTGTATAATTACTTAATTAGTATATTATCAATTATTTTTTTTATATATATTGAAAGTTTAAGTGAGTTGGGTCCCGAGGGCTTACCAGGATCAGGACATGCCTCTAGACTCAAAGAATGGTTACAAAGATACTTACAGATCGCATACTAATAAGGTCCTCATATTGATAGCGGGATTTGAACTTACGACCCTGTGAATTATGAACCGACTCTTTACTAAGTAAACGAGCTCTTGGTGGTACTACTTAATAGTTATACCATTGGTGGGAAAGTAAAGCTTGTTTTAAATTGATTGACAGAAAAGGACTAAGACATAATGAAAATACAATAACTATAATAAAGATTATTAATTCTGCCAAATGGTAGGCTTTGTGTGACACATGCTCCTTCCTTGCAATGCATAAATAGACTCAACCTCCAACCCTCTACGCTAATTATTTTTCATTCAATGCAATTATTTATCAATTTTTAAAAAAATTAGTATAGTTGTGAAAATTACTAACACCGGGGGTCATTTTCTAGGGCCATAAACAAAATAGGGAAATTGATAGATACGCGTTGGTAATTGTATTTTTAATTGGAAAAAAAAAACAGTTACTAAAACAAAAAGGCATATGTTGGAGGAGTTTTTAAATGGCTTCATTTCGTTCTACTTCCTTTTAATGCTTAGTTGGCTCATTATGAGCTCTGAATTCTCCCCACACACTCCTTCCGAAACTCTCAGCCTTCTTCTTCATAACGCCATTGAGCCACCCCCATCTTGTTCTTCTTCAATCTCTCTCTGAAATCTCCATGGATTCCAACAAAACACAAAACCCACAACCTCAATCTCTTTCTCCATCTATTCGAAGAAGCAGCGTTTGCAATTCCCCCGAATTTGAGTTCTGGATGGTCCGAAACCCGTCTTTCCCTCAACCCAACCTCCTCTCCGCCGATGAGCTCTTCGTCGATGGCGTTCTCCTCCCGCTCCATCTCCTCCACCACAACATATCTGACCCATCAGACCCGACTGTGCGCCCGGACGCCGAGACGATCGTCTCGGAGCCACCGGATCCGGATCCGGAGCCTGGGCCTCCACCAGAGGCATCGTCGGCCATAACAGATTCGACTGCCACGACGTCGTTTTCCTCGTCGAAGAGGTGGAAAGACATTTTCAAAAAGAGCGAGAAGAAGAGCGAGGAGAACAAGAGCTCATCGGAAGAGAAAGGGAAGAAAAAGAAGAAAGAGAAGAAAAAAAGCACCAACGGTGCGAGTTCCGCGGAGTTGAACATCAACATATGGCCGTTCTCGCGGAGTAGGTCCGCAGGAAATGCTGGCACCCGACCCAAATTATTTCCCGGAGCTCCCGCAACCCGGAAGGTGAACAGCGCGCCTTGCTCTCGGAGTAATTCAGCCGGGGAGTCCAAGTCACGAAAATGGCCCAGCAGTCCCGGTCGGGCCGGGGTCCATGTGGGTCGGAGCAGTCCCGTTTGGCAGGTACGCCGTTCAGGATCCACCTCGAAGAACTCCGAACCTGTGGTTCTAAATACCAAGGGGTCAAGAAGAGAAACACCCGCGAATCGCCGGAGTAAAACGAGCACCACCACAACCAACACCGGCGGCGGTAGCGCAAAGGCCAGAGTTTTGAACCTAAACGTCCCCACGTGCATTGGTTATAGACATCATTTGAGTTGCAGGAGCGACGACAAAGCCGGGGCCGGGGCCGATGCTGGTCCTGCCGCAGACTGCAGCGTCGCTGATAACGGAGGTGTTGGTAACGCTGCGGGAAGTGGTGGGAATCTGTTCAATTTGAGGAGCCTTTTTACTAAAAAGAGCATGGTAACATCGCACTAGTAATATCTAATATAACTACCATATACAGTAAAATAAATATTTGCTCCGAAGTTTTATTTTCAATCTTTCCTTCTCCTTAGATTAACCTGTTGCTTTCTCTTATTGATTATCTTTGTAAAGAGAGCTTTGTGGTAAAGCGGATAGTATATAGTGTGCTGGATTGTATGTAAGAGAAAAAGCTGTGTTTCTGACTTACAGATGAAAAGTTAAGGGGTAGATTGGTGAGTGTGATAGGGTCATGGTAGCTAGCTATTAGAGGGGCATGTTATGGTTCCTCTTTGGGTGTATTGTGTTCTCAAAGGCATCCCCAAAATGTTATTTTGAAAGTTTCTTTCTGACTATTGCCTCTTTCAGCATCCTGCCTGTGGCTTTTACCATTGGTATTTTATATGTGAAATTTAACATGATTGAGATGAGCAGAATTATTACCTGCTAATGATGTGATTTTTTTCCCCCATGGTCAAATGAATCTGCTATGTAGGAGGATGACAAAAAAGAAAAAGGTTTTTTTTTTTTTAATGAAGTTGAAATTATATGTAACTGAGATGCGTTATTTAATTGGATTAATGATCGATTATTGTTTTTTTTTTACCAGCGATTAATGATCGATTATTGATCAGAGTAATAATAATGATGGTGATAATAATAATAATAGGAGTAATGGGAGTACTATATCATTTATGATAGAGCAGGGGTCTCCTGATAAAGCTGAATCCACTGGTGTTTTTAAGGACGAGCCTTCTTTGGCCCCTGAGGCTCTAAGACAGCCTAATCAGTAACCCGAGTCCTAACGAAAGTTAATTTTTCTATGACATGGCAAGATAATTAAGATGTAAAATATGCATTATGCTCCTATAAGCATTATTTATCACCCAATGTGTTTAAAATTAATTTTTAATAACCAGTATTTTTTTATCATTAATTTTTATCTTGAGACATAACATGGGAGTATCTAACATATATGGAGTTGCTTTTATCTATTCTATTTCATTATGTTGGTCCTAAAGAACGAGTAATTGAATATTATACCATTATTTTAAAAAAAAGAGTAAACACAAGGTTTTGTGCAAGAAAAAGCTGCTTGTGGGCTGTAACTTCGAAGCTCACATCCAAATGCATGGGCCAGTGTTGCAGGCTCTGAATCTATTGGTTCTGGAAACTGAAAAGACAAGTTATTAATGTTGTGAAATGGGAAAGAGCCATGCTCAGAAGCAGCAATTGATGAGGGCTTTGTAATCACTTTTTTTTTTTTGGGTACCCACCCCAATTTATCAGAGTTTTGCTCCAAATACATCTAAATCCGACCTGCGTCGCGCACCTGGTTATAGTGCATGAGTCTCCCAACAGGGATTTCTATATACGTTGAGGCTTGAATTTGAGACCTCGCTTAAGCGGTACCAAACCACTTACTATTTGAACTCACCCCTGTTGGTTGTAATCACAAAATTGTTTTCGGAGGAAGAGAGAATCGCGGCCTGAGTGATGTTTGGGCCCTTTCCTAGGCCCATTTCTCACAAGTCATAAGCACCTTCTTTTAAGTTTTAACTTCCCCATCTGCACGTGCTCTTCTCACGTGAACGAGTGATGAGCTGTCGATTGTTTGGTGATTCATTGTTTCTCTTTCCACATGCATATGTTGATTGCCTCCATCATTTCTTCTGCCTTTCCCGACTTATAATTACTTTGTAATATTATTAGTTATTGCTCATTAACGATGAATATTATAAATAAATAAATTTTTTCATAGTTTATAATATATACATGGAAACATTTTTAATTAGTTAAAAATGATTATTATTATAAAATAATTTTGCAAATTTAAATCAAATATTTGAAATATAAATAAAAAATTTTATTTTAAAAAATATTTGGGTTTTTAAATCCAATCATATAAATATATATTCCTTCCCTATTGTACTCTTTCGATCCTTAATATAGAATCTAATTAAAAGGTTGATCTTGATTCTAAATAAATGACCTATTTGTTATATTTACCAATTCTTTCCTAAATTATCCCTATTAAATAATTAAATACCGTAATAATACTTATTACTGATTAATAATACACCTATATATATTTTTTTGGGTCAGGGTGAGCTGTTCGTATTATGAATAATATGCTTCATTGTATACATTTTAATATTTTATGGTCTTGATTCCTACTTTATATAAAATTAAAATCTAAGACGAGATAAAAAGATTTAAGATGAGTATATAATTTTAAGCGTTAAAATAATATTTTATAATCTGGGTTAATTTAAATTATGATTAAAAAAATCTCTTAATTATACGGCACATCACACTTCTTCTTAAGAAGAGGTCAGGGGTTCTACCACAAGAATTCGCGTGAGTGCAAGCGCGTGAAGTGTGGGTGTGTAACGGACTTGAAGTAACCAAAAAAAAAAAACCTAACTGAGGGTATTTTCGGAAACATATGCCATATTTATTATTATTATCTAACTTATCTAATTTTTTTAATTTAATTAAAATAGTTAAATAGGTCATATATTAAAGATAGAAGGAGTACTAAATATAATTATCATATTCACATCCACAAAATAATATTTCATGAGCCAAATGGGCTCGTAAATATTCTTACTCATTAGAAGCCATCCAGATCCACATAAAAGTGATAAAACTGTTATCCCAGAAGGCCATTTGTTATCTATCCAACCCATGAACCAAGTACAGGTGAGTGCGGTGATGCACCGGCCCAAAAAAGTTAGTTAGACAAATTTAATACAAAAAGATCTGAGCAAATATCTCACAAAATATATATCAGTTTGCAAAAGAAAATCTCATTAAAAATATTTGAATTTTAATATCTTATCAATATTATTTAAGGCCTGTTTGGAATGATTTATAAGTAATTTTTCAATCATGATTTACAGAATACAAAGTAAGTATGTGAGAGGAGTTGTCTTGGCTTATATGTGTTCATAAGTGTCTTTAACAACTGATTGAATTCTACTATCTTGAAATAATCTTTAATATGTATTTTGTTTTTGCAAATTGATTTAAAATCATGGGGTAACTACTTTACATTTGATTAATGATAATGATGATTATAGTTTACCTAATCTAATCTAACATGAAGAAATTAAAGATACATCTACTTAATGGCAAAAAAAAAAAAAAGATACATCCACTTAAAATCCAAGTTGAAATAAAACTTATAATTAAGTTAAAATTATGGGTTGACAATCTTAAATTTTATTACTTTATCCGAGCAGAACCTTGCCTAAAATTTGAATAGAAAGTAACTTATCTTAGAAAAATTAGCTTATAATTACGACTTTAAAAACTCTATATTCTATTAATGATGATGATGGCCATACTAAATCACGGGTCGAAGACCTTCGTATTTCACTAATGACTCTGCTCTATCGGAAAATTAAGAAATTCAAAAAGGGAACACATGGCAAAACGGGCAAAGATAACGATTGACGGCGTTATGTACCTATTTTAGCTCCTACGCGCTTTGGCGGAGCGTGATGTACAAGGGATTCGGGCGGCAGCATATATTGTCTCTATTCTTAATCTTTTTCTCTCTGCCTCTTCTAGTCTCTCTATTCTGCGCGGGTTGCGACGGTAGAAGCAGAAAAAATCAATGGCGTCGGGGGACAGGAAAGCATCGAAGGCATCGAGCAGTCGCGCAGGAAGAATCCGCACACTATCGGATCTGAACAGGCCGTCGGCCGACTCCGACAGCGACTCTGATGGGCCGCAGGAGTATTACACCGGTGGAGAAAAGAGGTTTCTTTTCTCCATCCCCTCCTGTTTATTCGACATAAAAATCTCAATTTCCTTAAATTCTTTATGGTGTTTGATTTCGCGTCGAGTAGCTCCCGCGAGCTCTTTACCTTTCATTTCTTTCTTGTTTTTCCTATTTAAAATGTCTAATCACTTGTTTGTTCGAATAAAAAGAGGGGGCGTGGAATTAGGAGTTCAATTTCATTGTTTTGTCCTGAATTGAACCTGTTTCTTGTATCAAATGCTTTAGATTCTTGACTTACATTCCATTGGATCGGTACTGATGTGTCCGTTCCCTGGGCACTAATTGCGAAATCAAGACCCGCAGAGAGAGAGCTATGAGTTGAATAGCCTGATGCAGTGGAGTATAGGGGTTAAGCTAGTGTTTGGGCATTGAAATATAATATTGAGTCAGCATAAGAAGCCATTATTTTAGGACTAGTTATAATTGTCATTAGCAGGATATTAGCATACTCCAATTATAAGCAAGCTTAATCTGTGACATATTTCTGGCGATGCCATATCAATCTGCTCATAAACAGATGGATTACTTAGTTGCTGACCTCCCGGCAATTTGTAGACCATTTTTTTACCAATTAGAATCTCTTAGCTTCGGTGTACTTGATGTATCTTGGTATGCATAAATATTATGGTGGTAGTTTACCAATTACTGCTCTTGCAATTATTAGAGCGGATTTAAATCATGTAGATATAATACCCCTTAAACTACTAGGTTGATTTTATTCAGTGGCTAGTTCTGATGGAGTTTTTCTTTGGTTTCCCTGTTCTCAGTCTCCCCTTGTTTTCTTTCTTTGATGATTTCTTATCTTCGAATTCTGTCTTTTTTTTCTTCCACCTTGTCTTAATACAATTGTTATTCTGTTGTGGAAAAAATGTATAAATGGGATGTGAGCTTTATCTTCTTATTACTAGGTGCCTGTATTATTTAGTTTGTCTTCCTATTAGATTTTAACGTTTGAACCTCCCAAAAAAAAAAAATTGATGTGATCATTGATGACTAATATCCCTTCTCACATGAAAATTTTGGTTCACTTGTCTGCCTGCTGAACAATTAATTTTTGCCTCTAGTAAAGTGTTCCTTTATGCTCTTGTAGTCTGCATTGGCATAGCATATGTTTCAGCCCACTTAGAGACTGGCAGTCGTGCTTTCTGAACTGCACATTTAATATGCATATGCTTTCCCTGATGCAACTAGATGTACATCAAGACTATTTATTGATAAAAAAACTGTGTCTTCAGCTGATACTATGATTCGGAACTTTTCTACTAGTTATTTAACATTTGTCTGTTACATCTCCAGTGGAATGCTTGTCCAAGATCCTTCAAAGGGCAATGATGTGGATGCAATTTTCAATCAAGCAAGGCAACTGGGAGCTATAGAAAGGCCTGTTGATCAACTCCAGGATCCACCTAGGTCAACAAGTTTTACTGGAACTGCACGATTACTCTCTGGAGAAACTGTACAATCGACTTCTCAACAACCTGAGTCTTTTGTTCACAACATTGTTTTTTGGAGTGATGGCTTCACTGTAAATGATGGACCTTTGAGGAGGTTGGATGATCCTGAGAATGCTTCATTCCTAGAGGTAAACTGTTTTTATTTACAATGTTGGAAGCTGCATGCAACCCAAATAAGAATTGATCAGTATTAGAAGATTGCGATTTTTATATTTATTATTCACAGAATGACAGAATAATGAAATATGTCTGGAATTTTTGTTTTATCTCTACTTACTGAACCTCAACTAAGAATTCCCTTCACTGAAAACCACATGCGCAACCGCTTGACAAGAGAACTGTTTCCAAAGCATATTGGTTGGAGTGCTCTGAAAGCTGCGCTTGAAATGAGCCATGAGATTGTCAAATGATTATTTCAATATCTTTCTGGAATCTGGAGTGCTATTTTCTTCTTGATTACAGTGATAGATTTGCTTTTAATGATTCATTAATTATTATAGTTACTATGTTTCAATGCAGAGTATCAAAAAGTCTGAGTGTCCAAAAGAGCTTGAACCTGCAGACAGGAGGTCATCAGTCAATGTTAACCTCATAAGGAGGACTGAAAAATACCCAGTGAGTTCTCTGTTGTATTTGTCCCCTCTCCAATTTTCTTTGTAACCAGCGTGAAATTGGTTGGTTTCTCTTTGTTCCTTTCTGTAGCTTTTGAATATTCCCAGTATTTTTCTAGAACAATCCTGACCTGGTATCTGTGGGCCCGTTCAATAAATTACATTCGAATCTGTTACATCTGCAGGAACCTGAAAAGCGCCATGTTCCGTTCCAGGGAGTGGGAAGAACTCTAGGAAGCAGCTCTACTTCAGCAGCACCCGAGACAAATGTTGCCTCAGCTCCATCCAATGCTCCTCCCCCGTCTGCGGGACTGGTTGTGGATCAGTCCCTGCCATCAACCTCCATTCAGATTAGGCTAGCTGATGGGAGTCGCTTGATATCTCAATTTAATTATCATCACACAATCAGTGATATCCGTGGATTTATTAATGCGTCTAGGCCTGGGGGCACGCCAAGTTACCAACTTCAGGTGATGGGGTTTCCCCCAAAGCTTCTGACTGATGAAACTCGAACCATAGAGCAGGAAGGACTGGCAAATTCGGTGGTCATCCAGAAATTCTAATGAACATCACAAAACCTGCTGCTTCCTGGTCATTGCTGGTTTAATCGCGGTATTTACAAAGTGAACTTGTTTTCTCTTCATCAAACTTGACAGCGTTTAGTGACAGTTTCTTTGAGGGCTTTTAGCTTCGGACGACCTAATTGGTGTTATTCAAGTTTTATCGTGTATATTTCTCGATTCAGGATCAGTAGGATGGAAACTTTGAACCTAATGCCTGTGTTTGGAGCAAAGTGAGGATAATTGATGACTGTATGTACTGTCTTTCTGCTAGCATAAGAGGCGGTTTTATATAATCTCGATTGAACTCTTGTTTCACTTGTCCAAATGTAGAAAGTGCTCTTCTGAACTGTGCAAATGTGATTCCGAGTGATATTTTATAGCATCTACACAGTCAAAATCAAGTAAAGCCTAATCATATTGGATATGAGGCCTTGCAAGTGTACCCTTAGTGCTAGGAGATGATATCGTGGGGGGTGTTTATCTAGAGCCTAGTTTTTTTAGTCTAGTGGGTAGGTGGCACTTTTTGTTCTCCAAAATCCAAATGCTTTACTCGAAACTTGTTCCGAAAGATTAGCATGACATTGATTCAAACTTTCGTATCGATATATGCATGTTAATCACAATTTATCAACCTGAAGAATCATGCTACCGCTCAATATAGGCGCAAATCATTAATATGGATTACCTTTAGTGGACGTATATTTTACATTTGAATAAACCTGAGAAGAAAAGAAAGTATAACCAACTTAATTATTTTTTATAAATAATGAAATGCAAACTTTTCATACAATCATTTTTTTTTAAATGTTTTGTAGTGTATGACGATGGGCCCACTTTTAATATAAAAATCTTTCAAAGAAACAAGTAGATATGTTAATATGTCATCTATATAAATAATGAAATCTAGGACAAGTCGTGTTATTTTTTCCCCGCATTTCCCTTAATGCAATGAAAAAACATGTTCGGTTTAAAAAAGATGACCATAGATTAATGATTACTGATCACTTAATTTATGTTCTTTTGTTAATTATTTCTCTTCTCTTCTTTAAAGTAAGACTGCAGATATTAGCATTTCACAAGTTACAGAAAAAGTGTGGGGGGGGGGGTAATTGTAGTCAGACTTAGTAGAGAATAATCATGTTAATCTAATTATATTCATATATACTGACAAATCTGTATTTACCAATGAAGAATGTATTATTAGTTTTCCCATCATAACTTACACAGTTATTATATACTACATCCATTCATATTTATGATACCTCGTTTGTAGTCTACAAATGAGATCTTATAAATAGGACAGGAGGCAGTATCATCTATTAAGAGTTTGATTCCACAACCTCATATTTGAGAGAGTTTTAAAGAAGATAATTTATGTTAGTTGGATTAAAAGACCCGGCCACTCATCAATAAGTTTGTTAGGTGCAATTAAAAGATTTTCTTTCCAATAAAATTTACTCCCCCCCCCCCAAATAATCATATGATATCTAGTGCCACTAAGGTGCAATTGGTGTTAAGATGAACTAAGAGTAACTCTTTCAGGGTGAATTTTTTTATCCACAAAGTTCAAATATTTAACCATATTCAGGAAGAACTGAATAATTTTCACTTAATATGTAGATAATAAAGCTGTTTTCTTTGAACCTAAAAAAAAAAAAAGCTGGCTTAATAATAAAGTCTGCTGAATCAACGCAATATATATATCCTACTTGAAAAGAAACATATAGTTTACTTATTTTGATCAACGTTAGAAAAATAATTTTTGTTTTAGCTGGCTTTTACAAACTAAAGTAAAAATAAACATAAATTAATACAACGTGATTCATATGTAGACATGTTTATTACCAGTTATTTATAAAAGGTCATTATATCTTAATGATTACACTTCATGTGTCCCTGATAAAAGTTTATGTGGATGAAATTTCAGGAGATTAAAGTACATTATCATGTTTACAAAAAAGAAAGGTACGTTGATTTTCCTGAAAAGCTAGAGTGGTTATGAATTATAATGGGAACCCAACGTGCCATAACAGGAGGCGTTTCTTTTTTCTTTTTCTTTTTTTGCTACAAAGAGGCGTTTCTTTTAGTTGTAATCCATTTTCGCTCCTTTTGCTATTACTTGTTTGTTCATGATTTGATTTGACTCCCTTAATCACCAGCATATTTGGTTGTCTCTCAAAATCATAGTTTGGGAGGCAAAACCATGGTTTGAGTGTCCCTCAAAACCATGATTTTGGTTGCAAAACCATGGTTTAGATGGAATGTCACCCAAATAGTATCAATTTTGGAGAAATAATTCGAAACCATGGTTTGGGCCAAAACCATGGTTTCAGAAGAAGTGAATCCATTTTGTTTCTGATTCAAATTAGAGAGTATGATTGTGCCTGTTAGAGTAGATCTCAACAATAAAATGACTTTAACATTCCTCAATTATTTTTTTTATAAACATATTTAATTTTATATTTTATAAACATATATACATATATTAATTATTTATTAATTACATTATCTCATGTATTATTAATTATGTTGGTAAAAAATATATTATTAACAATTTTATTCCTTCAAATTAAAATATATCATAAAATCTATCTTTTATATAATTATCATATTAACTTGTGCTTTTTTTTAGTAATTTGTATATATAAATAGCACTTCTGATAACAACTATCTAAACAGTCTCACTTCTCATAATCATGTTTTCACAAAATTTATTCTCCAGAAACTATTTTCCAAACCATGATTTGGTTTCATCTAAACACTCCTATAATTTCTCTTCCAAAAGCAAAAGCTTTTGATCCCAGCTTCCAAACAAAACTACTAATCATATCCTTCAAATTTCTTATATTCACACTCAAATAAGGAAAACAAAATACAATCAACACTTCTTGTATTATAATTTTAAAAATAATTATAATTTCTCTTTTAAAACTATTATTTAATTTTAGAGGGGAATTTAGACCAATATTTCTGAACTTAACAATCACATTATAGTTGATCAATTGGTTATTTTACTCGCATGATAAGACATTATTAATGGTATGTCCCTTTATTTTATTTCTTTTTTTTTTGTAAATAACATCTGAAAATTTTGATTTATTATCCGTTGTTAACTTTGCTGAGTAATGTACAGATAATTATAAAAAAAAATTTACATAAATTTTAAAAAGAGCTTTCCAAGGCCTGGAAATTCGAATTAACAGGGATACATATAATTGTGATTTCCTTGTGGCAACATCGACAATGGTTGACTTCTGGTATCATGGTGCCCGACCAGTGAGCAACTTCCGTTCGAGGGAACCGCTTCTGATCAAAATGTTTAATAATAAAATACACTTTCCATTATATTTAATTTATTTATTTCAATCTAATTAATATTAGGGAAAAAGACAATAAAATACCCTCAAAATTACTAAATGACAAATTAGGATAGGTAAATTTTAAAATCCCAATTCAGACCCCAGGTACTATTTTGGAATTTTCAAATCTTGTAAAATGACAACATTGTTCTTACTGTCGGTGACTACTTTCATATAGCTATTGACTACTCTGTTTTAACTATTGACAACTTTTGTTTTTAAAGTTTCGATGAATATTTTTATATAGCTATTGACTACATAAGAGTAGTAAATCGCATTACTGGAGTAGTCAATAGCTTAGCAAGAGTAGTCATCAGAATTTAAAAATAAATGTAGTCACTAGCTAAAAAAGAGTAGTCAATACATAAGAAATAGTAGTCACTAGAGCTCCTCTGACCAGTTACCGGAGTTTCGGTAACGTGTCATCAAAGTTTAAAAATAAATGTAGTCAATAGCTAAAAAAGAGTTGTCATCGGAACTCCGACAACCGGTCACCGGAGCTTCGGTGATTGGTCGCCGGCGTCGAAGCTCCGGTGGCCGAAATTGCTGATATGACAGTATTTAAAAAAAAAAAGTAAAAAAAAAATGAAGGGCATTTGTGTAATTTTACAAGATTTGAAAATTTCAAAATAGTATCTGGAGTCTGAATTGGGATTTTGAAATTTACCTACCATCTTTTGAGAGTATTTTAGTGTTTTTTCCCCTTAATATTATGTCTGCCTCCAATCATTTAAGCCAGTGGGCCGCTAAAATTAGCCGTTATAAATATAAAGATGAGGATAAAACAAGACAATCTGGATTATTTCCCTCATTTTTGTTTTGGCAAGCAATCTTAGCTATTTGTTGATAACCACGTAGTGTTAAATATTAAATCTAATTTATAGTACTTATTGCAAACTAGATTTTATATTTTGACGTGAGTTAATATATAGAAATTTCTCCTAAAACATAAAAGTGACATAAGAGATTCCAAAACGTAAGATGAAAAATTAAATTTCTATACATTAATCCTTAATATAAGAAATAAATAAATAATTAGTGAATATTAAAAAAACTTAATTAAGTTAATTATTTATAAGATATGTGTTAGTTTTTTTAGAACAATCTTTTTAATCATGTATATTATAAGCACCATTAATAAAAAAATTTTACTATGTGTAATTAATATAGATATTTTAGAAAATAAATTATTCAGGCACAATAAATTAATATATTATATTTAGAAAAGGAAAACTTGTAAACGTTTTATCTCCCTCGTACATTATTATTATTTTTTACCGGCTCCCTCCTGCATTTTTAAACTTATCAACTGAGTAGTAAAAATGATATATGTGGGACATACTCTGGATTTTTTTAATACTGTGCATCAGCTAAATCATTATTTAGTTTACTGGATTGGCTGATGTGAAAAAAGTGAAGCATGCTAGCACTATAGGCACACTTGAAACTCAAGTGATGGGGAAGAAAAAGAAGGATTGCTTTTGTGGTTAAATGAGGATAAGCTTGATTTTTTAACTCTCCATGATCAGGGTAAAAGGGTATAATCATGACTTAATTAGATTTTACAGTGATCTAAAGTGGTATAATCCAACGTGCAGCAGTGGACAGACGTGACGTTAAAGTAAGGGAGTGCAAAATATTTATTGATCTCTTCTAAATAAATATATATATTTATTAAAAAAACAAAAAAAAGAGGATTAGGGCTTAGGGCTCCCTGTCCCACCGACATGACCCCGCCATTGTTTTATCTTCCAGGCTAGCTCTCTAGCCTCTCCTGAGTCCTAATGCCACTATCACTACCAGAGATGCCTCTCCAATTTACGCTACTGAAGTAAACAATAATTAATCATCCCCTTCCGCCCCCATAACCCTAAGGCCGGGCAGCTTTGCTTGGCATAAAAAATAGGGAAAATCCCAAAAAAAAGCCTTTGGAATATACTAAATCTCAGATTGGGTCTTTAAATTTCAAAAATGACAGAATGGGTCATTGACCCAATCTGTCATTTGTGAAATTCAGGCG